GGTGCTTAAGCCTTTTATACATTGCTATATGCTTAGTTCAAAATGAATATATAACTGAAAAATGATAAATGGATTGAACTTGATCTGAATAGAGCACAAGCCTACATGTGTCTACATGTTCAATTTTCCTCCAATGTAAAAGCATGCATCGAATGCACTTGCAACGCACGCCCAAGGGACACGCATCCAGTTGGGCATAGTATTGCATGTCCATTGTTCTTTGTGAAGGATTACTTTATAATGCGAAGTTAAGATTCAAACTATACAATCCAGCCTTTTAAGAACAGAGGTGTAATTTTGTTCTCTTAAATCCTTGTCTTTTTAAAAAAAATGTTTTTGGTCTTTTCAACGTTTCTCCTTTCTCCTTTTTATTATAGCCGACCTTCTAACTATGCCCCCAGTCGAGATATCTATGTAGGAGAGAGGCACTCGCAGCCGGCTTACTCCTACTATCCAGATGATGAGGTCCAACAGATACAGCATTTCTACAAATGGAGCTCTCCGCCTGGCATCATCAAGATTATGGCTGTCCTTAATGTTGTCATGTGTGTCGGCATTTTTGCTTGTGTAGCTTCCACCTTACCATGGGATTTGGATATCACAGGACAGTCCATGGGTTATGGCATGGGAGGATATTCTGGATACTCTGGGGGATATACTGGCTATGGATTTGGTGGTTCATCTCAGATGGGCAATGGCTTTGCTTATGGAGGAAATTATACTGACCCAAGAGCTGCAAAAGGATTCATCCTCGCCATGGCTGCTATTTGCTTTATTATTAGCATGGTGATCTTTGTGATGCTTGCAACAAGGACCCAAACTTCCACTACCAGACGCTTCTACCTGATTGTCATCATTGCCAGTGCAATTATTGGAGGTTTGGTCTTCATTGCAACAATTGTGTACACCATAGGAGTAAATCCTGTAGCACAGGCATCTGGATCTGCTTTCTACACACAGATTGTGTCCTTATGCAACCAATTCTATGCACCAGTCACAACTGGAGTTTTTGTGAATCAGTACCTTTACCACTACTGTGTAGTTGAACCACAAGAGGTAAGCTGTCTTCAGTAAAATGTATATAGAAAAACCGCTTAGGAGTGATGACAAATCATTGCTCCTTTTAGTATTATCACACAAAGTTTAAAGTGTATCTAAAGCCAATACATTCTGAATGGAGTGGTGCGGAGTTAGAAATCCAGCCTGTGCCGGTGTCTTCTAGGTGAAATTCTGGTCCTGTGTAGGTTTCATGGCACTGGCAGGTTGAACCATTATGACCTAGGGTTTACCCAGCCTGGTTTTAGTGCAGTATACTGTATATATCTTTTCATATAAATTCATTCGATCGAACCTTTTACGTGCCGGATAAATTCATTTTTTGTCAGGTAACACAATAATCCAGTTCTTACAGCATGTAATACTATTAGTAAACCAGAAACACTGTTTAAAAGCAATTGTCCTATCCTATGTTCTCATGTTATAATGACCACAAACTTTTATTTGTGTGCCAAGTCAAAAAACAAAATCCCCATGTAATGTCTTGGTTCCCCCTTCTAGGCCATTGCCATTGTGCTGGGTTTCCTGATAGTGGCGGCATTTGCCATCATCATATTCTTTGCTGTGAAAACCAGGAGAAAGATAAACCAAAATGGCAAAATGAACATTCTCTGGAGGAAAGAAAAGTTTGAGGGCGAGGGAGTTCCGAACGTGGAAGAATGGGTGAGTCAAAGCTATAAGTAGAATATATTTGTAACTGACTTACCTTTTTTTTATTGCACTCCCTAACCTTACAATTCCATTTCAGCTTCTTTAAATGGAACCTGTCACTAGACCATGGCGAATAAGCTGATATGAGACACCATAAGGTGCTTGTATGTATTGCTGCCATTTCATTGTTCCCCCTAGGTTGGGTTGGTGGGGCTTTACATCATGTTAATGGACCAATATCTAGTAGGAAGGGCAGAGTTGAGGTCACTTTTTGGAGAAAATTCAAGATTTCAACAAAAATATAAATCCAGTTGTTCACATCTCTAGATGTGCTAATAGCTATGCCGTGCAGTTTTCACCTAAATGTATTCTTTCTGTGTGGGTTTTTTTTACCCCAATTTGCATTTCCTAGGTTTAATTTAGTATAGTATGAGAGCAGGGATATTGATCTTGCTGGCCCAAGGAACATTATATTAATGATCACATTTAAAGATATATCTTCTGGATTACCCTGCTTTCATTTCCTTGTGCATTACTTTTGCTGTACTTCTGGACAGGGAACTTGACATAGTTGAAAAAAAATGTTAAGGGAAGGAATGCAATCACCAAAACACTGAGAAAGGTAAAGGTTGTCAAGGAAAATATCACAACATATCCATCAATCAAATGCCAGCTTTATTAACATGTGGCACACCAGCACTCTGTTTGCAGTGTCTTGGCTGTTCCAGCTGCCTGAAGCACTGGTAGAGCCTGGCATGTTGGGCATTAGAGAGGGGAAAAAAAAGCTGTTGTGGTGTGCAGTCTAAGTACAGATGTCATTTTGAGGCCCTTTTTGCATGTCGTGAGCCGCACTTGAGGAGTTGCTCTATATTTATGAATTTGACTGCCACTGTATCTGGTAATTTAGAAAAGCTATAGAACTCAGCAGTCTTCTTTGTAATTTTTAGGGATCATTCACATAACTACCATTATAACATGCCCAATAACATACGCTTTGTTAACTTAAGGCAACATGTATATGTGTGCTGCAGTACCCTTGCCATTGATGTTTGCACATAAACAGCATGCTACAGCAGGCTACAAAGCACAGATTCAAATGTCTGTGCAGTGCACTGCGTTTTAAAAAATAGAGCAGTCCCAGTCATGCGTGCTGTCCAGCCAGGTTTCCGCTATACCCACTATGTCGAAGTCCTCTTCAATTAACCTAATTTCAAGCTCCTCTATTTTATTTGCCAGACTTCTAGCGTTGGTGTACATACTATTACATACTATTGTTTTTGTGGGTTGACCCTCCATTTAAAATAGGCTGCTTTGAACAATGCTGAACACATGAAAATGCGTGCATTGGCACGCACTGCATTGTGGTATGATTTAGGCGCTTAGGTTTTTCTTATTTTTAAAACGGCCATTTCAGTATTGGCTGTTGGCAAGAATAATTATTTCTGACTTCCACTGTTTTAGGACATCCAATTGGGGTTGGGATTTGTCTACCAGAATCCCCAAGTCCGATCCAACTATTGAGGTGGTTACAAAGCCACATGAAGGATCATTCTGGTAGATTCCCTGGATGTGGCGTAAACAAATCCATAGGGATCCCACTTGTGAGTGAATACAGATACAGACCATTGCCTCTTCTATCTGCCTGGAATTCAGTTTTGTAAACCTTACATGGTTTATGTTGTTAGATTACAACTGACCAGAGTTTTGTAGTGTATAAATGATTAACCTATCCCCTGCTTTCCTACCCCGCTCTCCTCCCTTTTTTTTTTTTTTCTCTTCATGGTCTACGGGCTTCCAATATTTCCTCCTTCTAGTCCTTCTTACCCTCGATGCTTGCTTGCTTGCCTGCTTTGATCTGCTTTCTCCTTATCTGCCATGTGTTGCTTTTTCTTCATTAAAGGAGAACTATGAGGTGAGTGCTTTTCACTCACCTCATAGTTCTAGCCGACCTGTGACAATGAGACTGTCACAGGTCGGCTCAGTAGATCGGGAGGTGAGCGAACACATACCGGGTTCGCTCGCCTCTCGATCCTGTCACGGCTCTCTGCCGTGACAGGGTAGAGGCTGGATTCCCCCCTCCCCAATCCGCCAGCGCTGACTGGCGGAACGGATGGGGGAGGGGGCGGGTACAGCTGGCTCTGCCTCTAGATAGGCAGAGGCAGCTGTCACTCACGCAGCTGGGCGGATCCAGACATAATTGTCGGGATCCACTTCAGCTGCGGCGCCTCGATATACAGCGAGCTACAGCTCGCGGTATACTGAGCCTAGGGTGACGGGAGGACGCTAGTTTGTGTCCTCCCGTTACCCTAAGGAGAACTAATGGGGAAAAGCCTTAACCCCATAGTTCTCCTTTTAAGTCTTGTCCTTTAGTCTCTCTCTTTTCTTGTGGCCAGCTCGCCTTTCTTTGGTGTTCTTCCACCATCCCAGGTATTATATTAAATTTCCAGAGCACCACCTTCGTGTCTCAAATTGGTATTTCCCACCATTAGTGGAAGTGCACTGGTGGGCTCCCCTTTTTCATCATGATATGAGTATAATCTTGCTTTTAATGACATGGTTGTATTCTGTATATATAACTGGATTGTTGAAGCTTTGCATTGTATGTTTTTGTACAGAATTCTATAAGACTTGTATGCACTGTAAGGCCCCTTTCACACGGGGGTCTGATCAGGTCCACCTGTCTGTTTTTTAAGGCGGACCTGATCGGATGTGCAACACTAATCTATGGGCAGCAATGTGTAACTGAACAGGCGTCCATTTACACCAGGCTACCTCTGACTACAGCCAGGTCCAGAAAAACAAACAGTGTTTTCCTTTTGGTGGACATGATCATGCTGGATTGGGTGTAATCTAATGTAAATGAACACACATCCGTTTACATCTGATTTCCCTGTAGGCCAGTCATTTTAACTTTTTTTTTTTTTTTCTTCCTTTTCCCTCATTACAAGACTGAGGGAAAAAACTGTATGGACACGGATGTCACAGCGGTGACAACTGCTCCGTACTGCTCTGATCAGGGGCACAGATCCCCCTCCTGATCGGCCTGTGTAAAGGGGGCCTTTTTTAATAAAAACAATTTTTTGGAAAAACCTGTGCATTACCTGTTAGTAAGCAAGTTGTAGGACTCGTCTTAAAAATGTTGACATTTAAAGTAATATTTTATGCATTTGTATCGAGGAAACATTGACAACAGGGACTGTGTCAAGGTATACAGGTATTCCTGCCTTGTAAGCCTGCCAGGTGAGCATTCCATGTCATAGATGAGGGTGCTGACAAGTCTCTTTCAGCTGCTCAGAGATGATGTAAGATGAAGTCTCACGACAGGGATGTGTTTGTAATGAGACTCGAGTTTCTGGGAGGGGCATGCAGTTTCATTACATTGTCAGCTTGTTTATTCTGGCTCCACGGCAGTGCGTGCAGTGCTGGCTGTGTGCTGATTTCATTGCTCAACTTTGATCAAGTGAAAGGGAGAAATTGTTAGGCTTGATAATATCAATCACATAAACAATTCCAGGAATAATTTTAAGCAGAATTTTATATATTTAAAAAAAAAAATAAAAACCTCAGTCAGAGGGAGACCAGCAAATTTAGCCAAGTTGTGGAGAGTAGGAGCGGAGTCCTGATGATTCACCTTGTTATGTAAGAATAAAAACATTTTGGCCATAAAAACTTGAAATAAGAATTTTCCTACTGGCAACAATCCAATATTTAACAATGAGAGTAGAATAATCGGTTATATTTTTACAATCTTGCCCTACTTGTTGACGGAATTGCTTTCGCTGATCTGATTGGAAAAGAGTGAAATATGGTTGCTATGGGTCACTACTGTCCTGGCAGAAATGGCCAGACCATCAGGAGCCGTAAGATGTGTTCTTGTCAGTAAAAAGGGATCTTCAATATGTATTAGACAAAAAGTCAGATTGTCATTTTGCAAATTTTTATTATTGGTTGCAAGTTTATATATCAAAATATATTAGCATAATTAAGTACATCCCAGTTACCTCCCATAATGAGTGGATAAGAAAATACAAATCATCGAACAGAAATTGATTAAATAGCTTGGCAGATAGTTAACTGTCCAAAACCACATAGTAATGCCCAAAAAAAATATATATATAAACTATTTTGTGATCAGAAATCTGAGTCAAACCAAACTGACCATTTTGAGGAATTTAACCTATTCTGATTTCAAAAATATACCTTGAGGATCTTAACCTTTCTGGAAACATCTGGTATACAGTGAGAAACATCCACCTTTTACTGTCAGTACAAGGCATTTAATACGCTAGGAAAGAAGAGCTCACTGGGAGGAATTTATCCTAGCAATTGCAGGTTTTTCAACTTGCACGGAATATATTTGCGCCAGATTTATGTTGCTAGTGAAATGTTCATAAATGAGGTTCAATAGACTCCCAGGAAAGAAGACTCGTAACTCCAGGCAAAATGCTTAACTGTCGCTTCTTGAAGAAGTGGTCATGGGGACTACTTAAGTTGAGATTGTTTTGTTAACTGATACTCCAGTTTCAGACAGCCGTAGGACAAGCGCAATTTGAAAAATAGTGCAAGCTCTGGTGAAAACGGGGGCACATGTTAACAGACAGATTTGCACATTGAAAAAATGATCTAAGAAGCTAAAACTGTGTCAATTGGTTTGATGAATTCCCCCCCGATGTATTTAATTTTAGCCATCCATCAGCAAAAGTAAGATATATATTTTTTTTTTTTTAAAGCAGAAAAGGTAATTTAGGTTTTAAACCTATATAGCTTAACAAACAAAAAGTAGTCTTTAAAGACGCGCTGACTGTTTTTAATTTTTGTGTGCACTTTGCTAATTTTTCACCTCCCTACACAGTGAGCATTAGCTTCTCATTCTAAAAAAGATTTGGTGAAATATTGTTTATCCAGGTTTTACTATGAGGTCTGAGTAGTCAAGACTACCCATATGTAAAGACCTCCAGAGGAAGGCAGTACACATTTCCTGTAGTCATTGCATATCTGAACTCTTCCTCTTTGTTTTTTCTTCTGTTCTTCTGATGTGTATAATTCCTGTAATATGCACTTATCATAGATTAAAATGCATCAATATCATACATTCCAGAGATGTGCTGTAGAGGTAAAATAGAGAGAAAGTTTGCAAGATTTATCCAGTTGGAAAAGCTTTAAAGGCCAGGAGCAGAGCCAAGAATATGATGCCAACAATGTTGTCACTCTGCTAGGAAAATAAACACTTTGAAGAAATATTATATATAACTGAAGAGAAACTAGGTAACCCACACGCTGACCAAACTTGAATCTTAAGCCCCTCCCTTCCCCCCCACATCTCTAAACTGACTTGTTTTTCCTGACTTACAAAGGTGCATAGAATAAGTTTTTATTTATTACCATTAAGGAGACAACCGAGTCCCTAATATGTTGTGTGTGATGAGACCAGCTTTGTACTTGAAGGAACATAAAAGCACATTGGATGACATTGATTAAAGCCACTACGGTGCTGTCAGGTTTGAACGAAGATCTGATTCTGAGCAGTCTTGGTAATGCACGAGTGTAAGCCTTTTGGGAAAATCCCCTCTTTTTGCTGGCTTGCGTATGTGTGCGCTAACCACCATCTAGTGCAGTGGTTCTCGACCTGTGTAACCTCAGCACTCACATTTTTGTCCTAGGTCATTTAATGCGCAACCCAAAAATTATTTCATTTCTGAATTAATTATTCCACAAAACCACTTGTGCTGTATTCACCAAGGTATATATGCACATTTTAAACAGTACAGCCTGTACAGGTCATCAGTTTTGAGTTAACCATGAATTAGTGCGCTCACTCTGACATTCATGGTAATACCTACCATGTGGCACAATCGTTGTCTATATACACATGCATGCCCCACACGCACGTGCTTTATTCTCATGCAGATGGCGTTTGTTTTAAATGTTTTTCTTCCACTTGACTTTACTGCTAGCACACAGGGGATAGCAAACTCCTATGTGATGGCGAATGGAGGTGACAGGTTCTCTTTTATGGAGACATCTGGGGTTTCCATAAAGGGAATCTGTCGCCCAGATCACTTGTAGAAAACAAGCAGCGGAGCCCCTGCTAAAACACACTATACCCCTTTTACATTATGGGCTTAGAATGTCATGTGCTGCTAGCTCTTCCCATGCACGTGCTAACCACATTATGACACTCCCAAGCCAATAGTTTACAATACTTTATATACCGCACATATCTCCCAGCCTGCCTACCTCTAAGCCCAGAGGCCGTGGCTGTGCTCCAGGGCTATTTGATATCAATCCATCACGCTGGGGCGGATTGACATCTGCTACACTGTGGAGGACAGTGCAGGCCGAGGCTCCAGATATTAATCCGTGGGCCGAAACTGATGAAATAAGGCCCTGGGGGAGAGGGGACTATCACTTCAGCAAGGAGCCTGTGGGGCCCTGGGATGATTATGAGACTGAGTGAAAATCACTTGCATCATAATTCTCTTTTAAGGACGTGATGACACACTGGAGAAGGGGTTGCGACCCACTTTTGGGTCCTGACCCACAGGTTGAGAACCAGAGATCTAGTGTATGTCTAATTTATTCTCCAGTATTTATTGTGACGCCACCCCTTTCAATTGTAAAGAGATAGGCATTGACCCATGGGAGCCACTCCTTTATCAGTAGAGGTGATGAGGATGCATTCCTACACACTGTATTTTTATTCCATTTGGATATATAATCTGTATGTCATGATTGGCTTATTTAGTTTAGTTTTGCACTTTTTTTTGAGTCTTCTGATTCCTTGTGTTCCTGTACTTTGAAAGTAGCATGTACTATCATATCCATTTTGGAATGTAATACAATCAAGAAGAACTTGTTTATCTTCTCTCTGTTTAGATTCAAAACACGGGGATGGCTTGTAAATGTGTATTGTCATTCTAACGGTCAAAGTGCAGCATTTCCGGGAGTGGTGGACAGGGTTGTGTTTGGAGTTTTTTTGAACTTCTAGTAATTGTTGTGCTGGCGTTAGCTTGTAGATCTAGTTCTACAGAATGGTGATCTTTTCTTGGCTTCAAGACACAACACTGAAAAGATTGGATACAAGATTCCCATGTACGCATGGTCTTGTCAAGCTGCCATGGAAAGTAAAGGGTTTATTTACAAAAGTACAAATACAATTACTCTCCCTCAGGTACCTGCCGATATCAATAACCGATATTTCTTCTAAAACCGTACAAACTAATGATTTTAAGGCAGTTTCTTTAATTCTGAAGAACTGTAACTTAAACCCAGGATTATTCAGCAATGGAGAATGGCAACCAGCAATAGGGGACTACCCATCCCGTCAATCCATGATTATACAGGGCTCTGCGGGCAGTTGCCGGCCTGAACTGGCTGAACAGGTGGGTGTTGGCCTAAAGGGGTGGGTGCCCGTGAAAATGCCCTGTATCGGCCCCCGATACTGATACTAGTATCAGGACATCCCTATAACTTACTACAAATGGCAGTATTGCTCAATAATCCACAGTAACAAGCCTTGAAATTTTAAGTGTAATCAGATTTAGGAATGCCATAGTGTAACTGCTGTAGATTACTTAACACTTGTATGAAAGGAAACCTGTGCTGAAATACATAGGCTGTCATTGCTGGCCTCCTTCAGAACATGCAAGATGCCTGGCTGTCATGCTGTTGCAGAGGCTTCAAACACTGAGCCACTGATCCCGGACTAGTATGCAATAACTGACAATGGGTTACTATTTTTTTTTATGTATTTTTTTTTTCTCCCTCTCCCTGTGAGACCAGTGCTGGGGTTGGTGGTCAGCTGCTCAGACATAAAGCATCCACATTGTGTCGGGCATGAGATGTATGGTATAGATGTGCACCATATATAAATACTGGGATTCTGACTGGGCTTTGGCAGCAGACTATAATACACAGTATAAGTAAGGTTGCGCACCTAGTGGTGCTGGCTATGCAATGTCAGGCTTAGTTGAACATGAACAATAATTAACATATTGCTGTATTTACTCCAATAAAGGTAAAAAATGTGTCTGCCAATCCTGAAGGGATACCTGCGATGTCAGAATACAATGAGAAGGTCAACGGATCTGCTCTGGATTATAGAAGTGTGAATGGTGGGCAGGCCTATTCTGATCACAACATGGGATCACGTGTGTAAGTACAATTCTTAAATTTACTAACAAAGGGATAATAGAAGTCTTTATATTATATTTATTGTCGTGTAGATTTGTCAACTGTTTCAATTATCAGTGATGGTGTTGAACTACCATATACTATATACATAAATAGCGAAACATGAAGTAACATGCCGGGGTATGCATGTAATGTATGTAATGTGTCTGGCTGATCAGCTGCCTCAACTGCAGCCTGAGAGAGAGCACATTTTATTTGTTTATTTTTTATTTCAGAGATGTAACAAATGCTTTTAATGGGATATACAGTATACCAGACTAAAAGGTACCAAATAAGAGAAGTTAATTGTTGGGAAAAATATACCCTTTTAGACTGGTAAGGGTAACCCAGGTGACTGCAGCAATTCCAGCCATATCTGGGTCACTTTTACCAAATAGGGCTTGAAGTATGCACCTTTTAATGTTATAGCTGTGCAGTATTCAAACTTGGGCGTTCTGCACTAATTACTAAATTAATATTTTTCAAGTGCGCCCTTTTTTTAAATTGTATTTATGTACATTTAAAAGGCAATTAAAAAGTTGAATGCCAGCATGCACTGGTAATGTCTCGGCAATGGACAGCTAGTACTACAGAGTAGGAACATAAAAGAAGAATGTGGAAGCATCAGTGGGTACTATACAGTATGAATGATATCGGGTGGGAAAAATGAGTGGAGACAGATGAATAATAATGCTTATCTGTTTTAAGCACATGGGTTTATTTGCTGTCAGGTATAGCACATGAAATGGGGAAGAGTTTGCAACGAGCAGTATTGGTGGTCTGTCAGTGTGCACCATAACAAAAAGGTATGTTGTTACATTGGTGAGTGTCAAAGGTGGACGGAACTGTCCACAATCTGTGTCTGCCGTGGCTACTCTGGTAATGCTTTATGTAGACCTGATCAGAGAGGTTTGCAGGGTTGCGTAAGGCTCCAAAGTGTGTGTGTATGTATGTGTGTGTGTTTCAAAGAACTGTGGCTTTTTGTTTTTAATTGGAATATTTCCATTTAGTTTTTCAATACCTTTCTCCCCATTAGAATCCAAGATGTGTATCCAGTGAAGAATGAGTCTGGATTTTCTCCAATTGTGTACAGCAGCAGCTCAGATGCAAGTAAGAAAGGTCCACCCAACAATAAGAGACCAGGAAGAGCCAGGAGATCTCCCAATGAGAACTATGATACGGACTATAACACAGGAGGAGAATCTGGGGAGGAGCAGGAGGATGAGGACTGGGACAGGTATGAGAAGTGAAGTGTTTATTTCTAGCTTATAAAGATTTCTCTGAGGAGTGCCGAACTTTGCAAGCATTTAAAGTTTATCTTGAACCAAGAACAAAAATTTAATATATAACATTGCAGCTCACCGGTCCGAAGATATGGTGGCTGCAATAGTTTTGTTTCTGATTTGGTGATCTGACCAGTAACAAACTTCTTGTGCTACGGTGCCAACGCTCACTTGCTGTACTGGATCAGTGGAGGAGCAGTGTTTTCACCCTAGGACAAGACAGCACACCTCCTTCCCCCCCCCCCTTTCTCCATGACCTAGAAGAGAGGTATTCACAGAGAAGAACTGGGAAAACTGCTTACTGATTAGGGTATTTTGTTTGCACTTATCGAACTCCCTTAACAGTACATTTTTCAATAGTATGTTTAACAGACCAAAAGGGACCAAATAGAAGTTGTTTATTAGGTTTGACATGCACTTTAACAAGAGAGCTTTCTGGAAATCGTAAAAAGTACCTTTCACCTCCATCTAGGAGTGCCAGTTACACAGTCCAACAACTCCACCCCCATCCCTATGTTTTGGGAACTAAAGGCGAGAGGTTCAGTGGCTGATTCAGCCCTACACTAGAGTTGATACATGGTCGTTTCCTGGGTTCTTGTTCCTCCTGCTTTATTTTCCATACTGTATAACTAAAAATGATAGCCTTAAGAGTTGGTACCAGATGTGACTGTATAGCTTGCAGTGGTGTTTTGCTAATTTTTTTTTTTTTTTTACAGTGAATATCCTCCTATCACTGGAGACCAACAGAGACAAGAGTACAAGAGAGATTTTGATGCAGGCTTACAGGAATATAAGAAGCTACAAGCCGAATTGGATGATGTCTCCAAATCCTTGTCAAGGCTGGACAAAGAATTAGATGAACATCCAGAGGGAAGCCAGTCATACAGGGTACTTTCTCATGAATATTTTACGTAGTTATTATCCATTGGTGACTTTATTTTGTATTTTTGTAGTTGTTTTATATATGTAGATGCAGTGCTCTGATGTATCGTGTTTTGCAGTATTTTCACCTCTCCCATCAGTACCTCTGGAGCCTACAGTCTGTGTTCAGTCATGTAACATAACGCGCAAGCACACACCATCACAACCATACTCCCCAAATCAGGAATTCTTGCAGAAGCATATACCAAAGTTGAACATTTTAACTATTGGCAGGTCCCAACATAGGGATGAGTACAATGAGTGCTGTAACGCCAAATGCCCATCAAATCCAGTACTATATATTTATTTTTAGTTTAAAATTATTTTTTAATATGTAAATACACTAAGTGGGCCTTAATCCCCTTTATCCAGTCATTCTGTCAAAGGACATTTTTAAGTGACCCCCCATACTGCTGAGATCTGTGTAGCCTGCCCTCTAAATTGCTGAAGTCAGGTCCTGCACCTCCTGTGCATATATGCCGCTGACTATTAATTCCAGTGAAGTCTATACACCACTCATGCAGGAGAGGCATAGAGAAGATGCCAGCGGAATAGGGACAGGCGAGTATGAGAGAAGAGCTGGAGGAGGGTATTTGGGCACACTAAGGGTATGTTATGAACAAAGTGTACTCCTTTTCTAGGTTCGAATTGATCTTTGAAGAACCGTTAACTCTTCATGGTCTTGTTAGGGGAATTTCTTCTCTTTAGCAGCCTGTCACATTCACAGCCCCAATGTCCTCTTCCTGTCAGGAGGCTGTCAGTCCATCATACATTGATAAAGTGGGAGAGATTACAGTATTCTGACAGTCAATCGCATTTCACTTCTGTTGCTATAATGCTTTAATTTTGTTACAGGCTGTTGCTGATGAATACAATCGTCTTAAGAACATTAAAGCGGTAAGCATATTTACAGTTTACTTGAAGGCATCCAGTATTTGACTGAGATTGTGGGCCCATCGCACTTTGATCACTGTTTTTAAATGACTTTCATTTAAATGGATGACTTATAGGCATCACAAAGGACCGGGGCAGTCTTAAACGTGGCTGACGAGTAATGATTTAATAATGTTTTTAGACCAAATAATAGTTAAAACTGTAATATTTCTACTAAACCTGGAGTTCTTATTTTTCCTTTTATTTTAACATTGGAGCAGAAACTCTAGTGTTTTGGCTTGCTCTTACTGAAGACCTGTACAAAAAGAATTGTGCTGTTATTACTCAGCTGCTCCTCCTGAGACTGCTAAATGCTGATCTGGCATGCTAATCTCTTGGCTTTAATACTTTGACTCAGATCAAGTGTTTTGATGCATCCTGCAGCATGCTTGTTCAGGGCAGCGGCTAAAAGTATTGAAGCCAGAGATGGCTAGCATTTTCAGAAGGAAGTCAGAAATGGCAGCCAACATCTTTCTCTTAGTATGTCTTACCTTTTTAAAGAAGCATCAGCACAACAGCCAGGTAATTGATGTTTTCTAAAGGGAGGACATGAATGACAGCCTTATTTCTCCAAGGGAAGTATCCTTAAAAGGAAATTGATATAAATATGGAAGCTGCCATCAGGGCCGGCCTTAGGGGTGTTTACACGCATGCAAACAGGCGTCGGGTGCGCATACGTGTGGAAACAACGATTTCGCCCATTACGCCGCACATGTTACATACGCGAACGTCGGAATGAGAGCAATAATTGTAGGGCTATTAATCACTGATAACACTAAACTGATGAGCGGTAAAAGCTTTTAAAGCGTCGCCTATGGTCAATTTTGGGCATGGTAATTTTCTGCGATTTCGCGGGTGCGCGCAATTTTAAAGCATGACATGTTTGGTGTCTATTTACCCGACGTGACCCCGCTTTTTATATTTTACCAAAAATATGGGTAATAAATGGGTGTGGTTACTGGGGGTGTGGTCACTAAAGGGTGTGGCCACTGAGGGGTGTGGTCACTGAGGGGCGCTGTAAAGCTTTCTCGCACAGGGCGCCTTAAGGCCGGCCCTGGCTGCCATTGTTGACTTGTTTGTGACTATAGAAGGTCCAGGGTTGATGGCCTTATGCTTCTTATTCATCGAATGTGTCCCCTACCCAGAGTAAGTGTCACCTACCCAGAGTAAGTATGTTCATTTCAAGAGTCCTGACACTTCATTGGCTGTGTAACAGTTTTGGGTTAGATAATTCCTATGTAGAAAAGCAAGGATGAGGATTTCAAAGCATAGTCAACCTTGCAAACTGCTCCATACATTCATTCTAATAACTTTCAGATTTACAGGAAACCTAATTATATGTAATTGTTATAAACTCGTGTGTGCATGTATATAACATATGTATTTTATATACAATAATCCCATGATATCATTTTAAGCATAGATCTGATACATTTTTTGTGTTTCTTTAGTAAGGCTTTTTTTTTAATCCAGTGCTGGCATGGTTCCAGCACCTGTTTGTCTTGGAATATTTTCCAGGCACATGTTACAGTCAGTGGTTTCCTGACGTCAGGAATTTTGTCCACACCTTTACTGCAACAATGAGTTCCCAACATACAAAATATTCTGTTCTAAATCTGCAGTACATGAGCATGTTCTATTTGCCTGCTGTCTTGTGTGATTTATTTCTTCTGAACTTTGAGTGATTGGAATGTCCAGAAGGGCACAGAAGCAGTTTAGAAGTCACACATGCCTATGGTTTATTACAACAAGGTTAAATGATCCTTGTCCAATACCAGCAGCAAGCGGTAGGCACCCATGGCCAGTCATACTTTTTGCAATTCGAGGTTGGTCAGATATGATCTTTTTTGATAGGTGATTCTTGTTCTTTGTTGAGCTAGTGATATATAGCTGCTCGACTCTACCCTTTAAAAACATAACCTGTCCATGCATTATAGTATAATATTGTTCCTGGATTCCAGAACACTGTGTGTTTGTGTTAGATGTTTTGTGTGAATTGGTAAGCAAATTGAGCCCATGCATGGCCTGATCAGTCTTTCCTGATGTTTCTTACATGCCAGTAGCAGTCAAATGGATGAGTATACACATATGTGATTGGTGTGCACTAAAGCAACCAATTAAATTCTGTCATGAATGGTTAATTTTCCTTTTATACTGCTGATTCAAATAGGATGATGTAGACATTTGGAGCATAGTACCTTTTTTTTCGTCCCTACGTTCACTACTTATTCCACCTCCCTACTGTGTTTAAAGAATTTTTTAAAGGCTAATTATTTCGAATTACTGTGGTTGTCACACCATAGCGTATTGGCAGAGCTCTGGAATGCTGGAGAAGCGTTTTCTGGGCCTTTGCAGGCTGCTACACCCACTGCGTTCTGCTTTGTATAGTAACTGCTGTTGAAGAATAGTGTGTTCCTTTCATAGTCCACACATCCCTGACACTGCTGCTTTCATTCTACTTTGACTTAAACTGTACATCTGCGGACATTAAACTTTAAAAGATCAGGGATCAACAGACATTTATTGTAAGTATGTGTCCTAGCTGAGGGGGGCACAGTTCTTCCCTTATGCAGATCCAAATGGATGGTGACAGCCAATCCCGGCCTGGGTCCTACTAGAGTCACAGTACCCCTGGCCTCTTTTTCACGTCAGCCATAATTGTAAAGGGCAGTTGGCAGTCACAACCAAATAACTTCAACTCACTGTGGTCAGATAAGTACATAGAATACATCTGATTTCTGTAGGTTATTGCATTCTGCATATAATAGAAGGCTGTCCTTGCTAAGAAGTGAATGCAATATGTGTCATAAAGACAAGATGCACTATATAATCACATTTGTGTGATTTAGATATCCGATATAGAAGTTTACTAATTACAGCTGGAAACATTTAAGTTATGATACAATTTTATTTTATTTTTTTCTTCCAGTCTTCAGATTTCAGGAACAAACGGGAACACTGCAAACAGCTCAAGAACAAACTAAACCACATCAAAAGGATGGTCGGCGACTATGACGGGAAATAATCACCTGAACTCGCATGCTGAATACTCAAGCCAAACGTTTGTGGCCTAGGCCATCAAATTGTTTGTATTAATGTGGTTGAGCCATGTATGGGACTTGGAAATTGTCTAAGCATGTTATAAATTCAGATATTTTTATGGGAAGCCATAGATCTGTTTCTTTTTTTTCCCCTCAAATAATTGTATTTCCCCCCCCCCATTTTTAAACAATTTAAATGTGTATTTATACGTTGTATAATACCCTGGCTTCCATTTATGGGTGTAGAACCTCTCTAAACTGTCATCATATTCAGTCTCCTAAAACCACAATGAGCCAACTATGCATACATTTTTATAATTATGGAAATGTATATACTCCATGTTTTTTTAAACTTACACTGTCCCATTTCAGGTTAGAATGTGTGTAGTTATATATATATTTTTTTGTAAATATAGAAAGGGAATGCTTTTGAGAAACACAAAAAAAATGTAGTTTGATACTACACCTTAGGGCTTTGATCCTTTTTGATCCTGGCACCACCTTCTAGAATAAGCCAGGTGGTGACCTTATGTAGTAAGTGTCTGTGCCATGAAGCCATTTTGCATGCCTATCATGGTTATTACTAAAACTCACTAATGTAATGTTTATCACAGGAGTATTCTATTTTGTTATAAGGTAAAGGGCTAAAATATATGAAATCATTGTAATATTTCAGCCTATTTGGTCTTGCGAACTATGATGCAGCCCAACAAATGTATTATATTTTTTTCTCTTTTATGGTTTGTTAGGTGTAAGTCGAAATCAGTTTATGAAAGCTATACTATAATTAATGTAAAAAGAACTGCTGTAGCTTTATTATTATTTTTTTTTTTTAATAATGTAAGGCGTTTTAAACTTGTAGACTTTTTTTAAAATGTGTATATACATTTTCTTTACAATGTTCTTTTTTTTTAATTTGTGGTGATTCAACATACTATAAGATGAATGTGTATTACTACTTCACCATATTGGGCCTTAGGCACTTGAGTAGCATGGTACAATACTGTAACCTTGCAGATGCAGAAGATGGATGTGCATTTTTGTGTAAACTGTGACAATAAACGTTTTAAAACATCCTATTTCAAAGTAATTTTGGTTGTTTTTATTGTTATATTTCCTTTTTATGTATTCACATTTTCTAAGTGCATTCTATTACTAGTCTTGGTCTACATGCATTGCATTTTTAATTCTACCCACCCATTCAGTAGAAGCCTGGGGATTATGTGGACCATTCTAATGTCTTAAACTTTTCCTGTTGAAGTAGTTAGTGGGTTTGGGGTGTGTTAGCTCTTTAGCTTTAGACTGGCCTAACACTGTTGCATTACACTGCATAGTAAAATTCAACATACCTTGCAAATGCCTTGCTGGCAGTCATTTCATTAGGCTAGAGCTAGACCAGGAGATTTTTAGTAGCTTAATTCTGCTCCTAAAATTGTTTGCACTTAATCACTATGACTAGCAAATGATCACTCAGCAATTGGAACAAATGGCTGCCTAAGGTGTAAGGGCCAGTTCACACCATATGCAGTTGTGATGTGGTCCGTTTTTTTTGACTGCTGCAGTAAAAATACATCACAATGCTTTCCTATAGGTTTTCTTGTGCTTAATTCGCACCATTGCAGTCTGTTCAGATGCAGTCAGAAAACTGCACAAAAGGCATCAAAACGCAACAAACGCATACAAAAAAACCCAGTATTGATTGTGGCATCATCCAGGGACATGTAGAGGAAAAAACTAGGGCTGGTAATGATTAAAATTTTCCTGTTCGATTAATCGAATTTTTTTTAATCGATTAATCGACGGATTAATCGTTAATTTCCGCACCCCTAGAAAAAACCGCATCACAAACGCGTCAAAACGGATCGCAAAGAAACTGCGCTGTGATGCAGTTTTTGGTGTGAACTAACCCTAAGCTACACAAATGGCATGAAGAAGCATCTTGTACTGATTTATAGTATATGGATGTAGCAAATCGTGCATGGCTGATTGCTGCTATATGCTGCTTGTGTAGCATACTCCACAGGGATCCATTTGTTTAGTTGTAACTTGCTACACTCATGCGTTCTTCCTTAATGCGTTTTCCACTTTTGCAGTAAAATTTGAGAAAAGACACTGTTTCCATTCACACGGCATATCTAAAAAAAAAATTTTTTTACAAATATTTCTTACCTCCTTTTAGAATTTCCTCTCATTAACACATTTTAACCCTTTTTTTAATTTTTAGGACAGACACTGTTAAAATATAGTTTACAACTGATAATGACGTTTGCACAGTACAGACAGAGAAAATTGGGGTAAACAATAAATCTACACCCCATTCTCCTTAACATTACATAGAGGGATGCTAGGTAGGATTTGTAAGCAAGGAAAAGTACTTAAAAATATAAGGTTTTTTTTGTTTTGTTTTCAATTTTTGAGCACATTTTTAAGCTATGCTATGTGAAATTCCCTTTAAAAGCATCTTCCAAGCATGTCATTTCAAGGATTGCTGTTTTATCATGTTGGCCTCGAAGCTGGTTTAAAAGGAGCCTCTTCCCACTGTAGGGTATTTTTTTTGTCATTGTTTGTCTGTGCTTTGTTATATGTCCTTATGGTATTGCCCAGCTCCACAAGCCTGTCTTGACAATTAACCCCCGGAGTTTAATAGCAGGGTTCGCCCTATATAGACGTTAACGACAAAATTTAGATTCGGGTTTGCTAAACTTTGAACTAAATTTGCCAAACCCTCTGCATCACACCTGAGCAGATTTTTCCCATCACCGGTCATAGGTTCCTGGCTGATGGTGCAGCCGCAACAGAATTCCTCAGCGTTGGATGATGCTTAACTTTAGTTTTTTTTTACAAATTAACAATCCATAAACAAGACAACTAGTGCCTAAAGGTGCCCGTATAGCTTACAACCATCGCAAGACTTTTGTCTTGCGATGGTTGTAAGCTAATTAAAAGCTCGTACGACCTGCCCATCTTGGACAGGCAGATCGTACTTGCGATCATCGAAAGCCCGCCCCGCTGAGGGGCGGGCTTCCGATGACTGCAATGCTGAACGGGCAGTGTGCGCTTGCGCACACCGGCCCGTTCGGCATTTGTCTTACGAGCAGGTCAGAAATGATCGTTAGACAAAAGACGTGCGACCGTACAGTAGAAACGGTCGCACGCCTTCCATACACCTTGCGATTATCGTATGATCGCGGGATTTCCCACGATTATCGTGCGATAATTGCAAGGTGTATGGGCACCTTCAGGGTAGATCCATCAGGCGAAAGATCAAGGACCAGATTTGTGGGAATGTTTGTAAATAAAATGTTTGATTCTTGCTGTGACATCTTCCATCTTATGGACCTCTGTAGGCCATTATATGATGAAAAGGATTCATATCTCCCATCAGTTAAAATGTTTTTACAAAAAGCATATGTCAAGAAAATATTAAATATATACACTGTGTGTATATATATAGCTTAAAAAGAACTCAGATATTCTTTAACAGGATGGACTGCAGGGGGTGGGGGATCAGATTAAGCAAAAAAAAAAAAACAGGGTCAAAGAAGAGAATCTACTTTTCAGAATATTACTGCTACGTTGTTGCCTGCCTTCTGGAACGCAATCTGTAAGGACTGATGGTACAATGTCATTTTTACATATTTTTTTCGTGTTTTGGTTCTGCCTAATTCATGTTCTACAAAACGGAAGGTAATTCCTCCTTCTAGAACAATGGAAATATTGTCAGACTGATTTTGAAACTGTCTTCTCTGTGTTCAGGGTTTTATCGGTGGTTAGTTCACATTCCAATCATATTTTATATTTCTCCCATACTAACTTTACTTAGTCCACATTGTACAAAACTATTATTGAAACAAAATGCCTGGTTGCTATGGTTTCGTTGCTGGTCACAGCCCTGTGTAATATCTATTGAAATGTTCAAATAAATGCATTCTTCTTAGCTTTGGAAGTTGGAAATGAGGAATGCATTTTAGGTAGAAAAAGAAAGTCTGTCTGAAAACTGGACATTACTTATACATGTAAAATAGACCAGTTTGTGCAAACGTTGTGTCTATGTATAATTATATATGGCAATAGTCGTATTTTCTCTTTACATATTCAGACACTGCTCGCTGCTTTGCAGTGCTGCACAAAAGGGAAAAAAAGAAAACCTTTATAAAGCACATTGATGCTTTAAAAATGTGCTTTATATGTTTCAGGACTCTAAAGACAACAAAGTGCTATTAAAATGAACTGAGTGTATAAAAAAAATAGATTGAGAACACAGAGTCCTCAATCTCTTTTTCTGTGTCCCCTGTTATCAATGAACCTGTTAATCCAGCACGTTATTAATCTCACGTGCAGTGGCGTAACAACCGGGGGGGGCAGCTGGGGCGCTCGGCCAGCTGTTACTTTCTCTCCTCCCCACTGGGACAAAGAGCAGCGCCCAGCGGGCAGGAAAGAAATCACGGTTGCGCCGACAAAACGGCAGGAAAATGGCACTTTCGGCATGTAGCCAAAGTGCAATTTTTGGCCGGCGCCCCCTTCAGCTTTACGCCCGGGGCCAGCGCCCCGGCTGCCCCCCCCGGTTGTTACGCCACTGCACGTGAGATTAATAACGTGCTGGATTAGTGTGATCCTAGTTCATTTTATTACTTCATTGCTGTGCTGTATGTGTATAGGCCAATGTAGTTGGATCTGTATGTGCGTTATAAATAATCGAAAATAAATCGATTAAAAAAATTCGATTAATCGAACATGAAAATTTTAATTAGTACCAGCCCTGAAAGAAAGCAAGGAGAAAAAGCCGGTCACATGACCTGTCAAAGAAGAGTTCTCTCTGTTGCAGGAACTACATAGAATACAGCAGGCTCAATACCATGGCCTCTATTTTATCATTTGGGCCACCAAATGCAGGCCATGGTATGAATTAATACTGCAAAATATAATGGGAAATGGATAGTGATATTCCCTCTCCATTATAAATCGTCCACAAATACCTTTGCTGGGCCTGCTCACATTAGTCTGCTGTCACACAGCAGCAAAGTTCTACAACGCTGTGTATTTCTATCACCATGTAATCTCTCTTACCTTGTACTGCCGCCTGCTCCGATCCACAAGACTGGTAGGTACAGGCATAGTGGCTGAATTTCACTTG